TCCATTCGACAGCGGATAGATCACAGCGCTAGAGGCGCTGTAACTACCGCCGGAGCCACTAACATTGTAGGGATCACTTGCAGCCAATTGCTGGACTGCCCACCCGTAGAGGGGAAGACGCGCTGTGGCCGAAACCACTCGCTTTCTCATATACCCACCGACCCCACTTGGACCCAGAACACGGCTCAGAGGCTTATTATGCGCCAAACGATTTTCCGAAAAAACATTTAGTATGGGAAATTTTAAAAAGCGACTCACGGTCATACAAACCATCTCCGGTCCTGCACATTTTTTCGTACTTGGTCAAAATTTCGTCTCCGATCTCCCACCCAAATTCCCACCACGCCCTGCCACGCCCTGAGGCCCTCACCTCCAGTGCACCAGCACCACCTGCCCAGTGGTCCCTAGGGCACTGGCACCACCCGGTAGGTGTCTCTAGGGGCCACCCAGGGGACCTAGCCCACTATAAGCAACCACCTGGGGGTCACCTGGGGGTCACCTGGACCAAAACTTTTAGGGCATTGTTTTGAAAAGTTAAGCACTTCTAGAGGGGTCTCCCTCCCAGCCGAGGACCTTCAACTTGCAATCACCACCGCGCCACGAATACACATGCGACGCCGGTGCGACCGGAACCATTGGATAGCCCTGGAAAAGGGCTATCTTGTGGGGTAGTTTCACTGTGCTGCGGCAAGCGCCCGTGGCGTCAGGTTTTTTCGGGAAGGCTGGGTCGGGCGGTGCTCGACTCTAGGGTGGTCACGTGATACCCTGCACCCGGGCTTGCAACAGCCGCATCACCACGGATAATGGTCCTACACCGGTGCAACCGGGCCCATTCGATAGCCTTCGAAAAGGGCTATGTTGTACGTCAGTTGCATCGAGGTAGGCCTTGGCCCCGTGGCGCGAGGCCGCTGCCCGTAGCCGTGGCATAGTGTGAGACCAAGGCCCGCGCAGGCTACCCTGGAGTGCTGGGCCGAGCTACCCTGGAGCGCTGGGGATTGGAGTGTTGGGCCGAGCTACCCTATAACCGGCAGCCTCCCCGACTTCCGCTTCCAGGCCGCCAACTTGGAAAGTCAGTGCTGCTCGCGGGGCCTCTCCTCTTTACAGCACGTCGTATTTTTAACGTATCCTCACGCCACGAGCACTTGACACATAACCATACTAGCTACATATTACGAAGCCTGGGACTTTTCTGTTTCCGTCCTGCCACCCCTAGCTGTGTCAACGTCGGAACCCCGGGCGCTACGCCAGGAGGGGTCGGTAGTACCCCTACAGGGTAATGCCCTTCGGAAACCTATCTTGCCCGGCGCGTGGCGTACGGGTAGCCGGGTACCGCCGTTGGAACCGTTTCGTCGAAGCGGCTCGTGTGGTGTGTGCTGGGGCTTCCTGGATACAAGCCCGCGTTTGGAAAGTAAACTATAAGTTGAGATGTTACTTTATGTCTTGGAATATCGTTTCGAGTTCGGCCTTTCCCTACTGGCCGCTTCTACATAATGTTCCAAAACATATGTAAACCAATTCCTATATTATTGCTTATCGTATCAAGCTGGCCCGTATATCTACAAAGCCGCGTCTTTATGCCGGTTACGGCCGTGGTGGTCACGTCACGGTAGGTCCCAGCCCCGCCCCGCTACGCCGTCGGGAAGGTGCTCTACAGGGTAGCACTCCAGGGTAACTCTATAGGGCGACCCGGCCTGGCCACCCTCCCGCCGGCTCCGGGACCGGGGAGTGTAGCTGTAGGCGTCACCAAAGTAAACAGGCGGTATTGTTTGTGTAATGCAGGTAAGGTAACCTCTTGACGTCGCATAAAATATATTACTCACGAGTCTGGCCGGTGCTACCCTGTACCCCAGACTGCCTAGCCACCCGGGGCAGCTACCCTAGCCACCCTGTATGACGAAGTGTAGGATGGAAGTCGAGGAAAGGAGCTACCCTAGAGACGGCTACCCTGCAAGAGATCGGCTACCCAGAATGGGCTACCCTGGAGACGAGTTACCCTAGAGCTCCAGGGCAGCGTCTCTCGGCCCCGCGGTATTAGCTGCCCGCCCGCCCCGGAAAGAGCCCTGGGAAGGCCTGAGAGAGCCCCGAGAAAAATGTTGCCCCCTTAGGAGGTCTAAGCCAACCCGCCGATTTGCCCGCCCCTGGCCCGGCTTACCCTATAGTGCCTCGAGGGCCCCGTCCCAGGAGCTTGCGGGGGCGGCGGCGGCACCCGAGGGGACCGAAACGGGTGCCCCTACCCCCTCAGGTACCCACCGGCCGCACTTATGGCCCAAACACGGCTCAGAGGGTTAGTGTGCGCCAAACCATTTTCCGAAAAAGTCTTGAGAGCGGTGCTACCCTGTAGAAGTGAACTTGGAAAGCTTTACTCTACTACAGGGTAACCC